AAAAAAAAGGCCCATGAAAATCTGATTTTGATTGTATTTTTAAATTCATTATGATTATTTAAATATTTTATTTCAGTTCTCAACTACCAAAGTTATTATGATTTTTCATTGGGCTTGAAAGAATTTTTCAAAATTATAATGACTTTGTACTTTGCCTGGGAAATTTTTTAATATTAAATATTAGGTATAAGTGATCAGTAATATTTAACAAATAAAATTGGTATTATCAAGTAAAAGCTTTAAATTTATTCTTACTCATACCATAGTATTAAGACTTAGTATTAATGAATTGAACCTACAATTTTTAAAATATTTTTTTTTAACCCTCCTTCCCACTCCCCCTAATATTAGTTTACATATTTATTAATATATATATTTATTTTTTTTCTTTTTTAATATATTTATTTTTAGATAAAAAATGTTTTTAAATTTGAAAAATTATAGACAAATTGTAAAATGAATCAAAATAAAAAAAAACAAATAAAGAAAAAATATATAAGTCATAGTAAGCGCATAGCCTTTTATGGATATTATGAAATTGCAGAGCTTAGCTTGGGCTATTTCATCCTATCTAATTGGATAGAAATTTGGGGGGTAGCCTATGACATGACCATCCACAATTGTTGATCAGGTCTGCGCGCGCAAGAGACAAAGCCACTTACTTTAATGCGGGAAGTAAGAATGGGGGGAAACCCCCCTCTCGTAAATATATATAAATTTTAAAAATGTACATATTCATCCTTGGGACAAAAAAATAAAATGTATAAATATTTCTACTATATAAGTTATGATATTTTTTTAATATATTATATATATGGTGAATTCCATGACAAATCAACATGAGTTTCAACCCGACCCTCTCAAATTTTTCTGAAATTCTCATATATTATAACTAATAGAAAAATAATATAATTTTAACCTTCAACTCCAAACAACGACTGAGATACGGGTCTCGAAAGGTCAAAAAAAATATTGCATCAACAAAATCTTTAATTTTTAAATATCTTTGGAAATAATTGAGCTAGAAGCGTTATTTAAATTTCTTTATATAGCTATATGATTAAACCCTTTAAAGTTTTATAAATGTTAAAATATTTTAATGATGTCAAAAAAACCAGAAATAGAAAAAACCTGGAAATAATCATAAAAAATCAAAATTAGCATTATTTTTTTTTCTCTTCATATTTTTTTTTATATACATATATGGATAATATAGTTAAATAATGAATGCTCAAAATTTTAAGTTGGATCGAGCTCGGGTTTAGGAGATATTAGGCTACATAAATATTTGATAAATCATTAATTGAAATCTTTTTAATATTTTATGTATTTAAATCAGAGACCTGCTGAGGTACCATTCGCATAACCCGACCCGGTTTTTTTTAAAAAAATTTTTTGGTCCGGCCTGAGTTTTATATTATTCGGTTCCGAACTGGACCGGATTTTAAAAAATAAAACTTCGGCCCGATGTAGGATTGTGAAATCCCATTGTAACTTCAATACCGTAATTGGTATTTAGCGATTTTAGAATCAATACCGTATTGATATTTAAGAAGTGTATTCATGGCTTCAAATATATTGGCGGCCATTACAATTTGTAAAATACTTATTTATTATATTATTTTTTTCGTCGCTTCAAATATATTGGCGGCCATTAGAATATTGTAAAATATTTATTCAATTTTTTCATCGCCTCAAATATATTGGCGGCCATTTTCGATTTGTAAAAAAAAATTATTTTTAAATATATTCGAATGATTATAAAAATGATTAAAATTTTTATGGAACTAGCTCAATTATATTTAAAGAATTTAAAATTTAATGGAGCCCAAAATACCCCAAGACCCATTACTCAGCTGTTGTTTGGAGTTTGGGGCTAAAACAAATTTTTTAGTTATAATGTTGTGCAAACTAATAAAAAAAAATTTAGAAAAATCTGAAGGGGTCGGGTCGAAATTCATGTTGATTTGTCATGGATTTTTACTTTTTTTAATATATATTTCTTTTGTAATAAATTATTTATTTTTTAAAAAAAAGACGTTCTGAATATAATATAAAAATGATATCAAAATAAAATATATTAAATAAACACACGTATATTAAAAATTATATGAAAAAATATATAAATCATACGTCATAAGTAAACACAATGGCCCTTTATCGTTATATGAAATAGCAGAGCTACTCTTGACCTATTTCATCCCATCTAATTGGTTTAAGAAATTTGGGAGGTAGCCTATGAGATTAGCCCATTCCACAACTGTTAGGCAGAATAACCTACGCGCAAGAGGCAAAGCAAAATGATAAAATAAAATTAATAAACAAACAATTTTCAATTTTGACACGAACTTTAGAACATTTGATTCCGAATTCCCACGGATTCCATATCCCAATACGACATATATATATGATTTTTTAAATTATGTTATTATTTAAAATCGAAAATAAAATTAATTTATATAAAAAAATAAAAAGGAAAACGAATGAGTTCGTGGAATTTTACGTTTTAGAAACATGGTGTGGCTTAAGAAAATTTTAAAAATGACAAACAAAACTTTAAGATTTTTTAAATGGTCTATCGAGGAACTTAATTGAAATATAAATTCAATAAATATACTTATATAACGCTATACTATATAATCGAGTTTATGGTTATATTGTTGCGAAACTATTGATTCCCTGAAAAATCTCTCGGACCATGACCAGATTCGACTCATTTTTGAACTTATTTCTTATTTTAGACCAATATCTATTTCGATTTTAAACTAGAATACCTTATTTTTTTAAAATGTGCGCTAAATCTTAACAGTCCCTTTCTTTCTATTTTGTTTAGAGGAAACTTCATAAACGGCCAAACAGATTTTTGTTTAGAAATAAGACTAGTCAGGACCAGGTTTCCAGGTCTCCCCCTAGAAATTTTTCCTTAGATAAGTATGCACCTCCTACCAAAAAACTCCTGCAATTAAAATTTCCCGCAAAATCTCCCGCAATTTTAAAATTTTTTTGCATTCAAATTTTTAGCATTTTAACGTTCTCAATTGATTCTAGTAGTATGATCTAAAATGGTGTGAGTCGTTTGGCTACGCCATTATTAGATTGTTAACAATAATACCAGCCATTGATAGAAATTTTCAAATTTATCATCCTTTAAGAAAATATTTTTTTAAATAATAATTATAAAAGTTGTCCAATTTTCTTTAAAAATAAAAAAAAAATTAAAAAATGAATTGGCGGGTGTATATTATAGACAGCTTAAATAGAGATAATAAATTTTATGGCGATTGCTAAAAACGCGATTTCAAAAAATTGTGGGTTTTTTAAAACGAAGCAGATATCTCTATTAAAACAATTATACAATATTGACAATAAAAATATGAATTTATTAATACTATTTATAAATTTATTAATACTATTTATAAATGTATTAATATTATATTCCCGGATTTTGCGATTCAATAATTATGCTAAATAGATACATATCTTGTATGAAAAAATCGCTATACTCTCCTTTTCTTATGATTCTCAGTAACTAAAAACATATTAATTAATTATGCTTTTGGCAACCCTGGTAAGGTGACAAACTTAAGGCTTATTTTATTTTATTAAAAGCGAGAGTTTTTAAGGATATTTTTTGTCTGGGATCCTTGATATGAACTTGAGAATTAATTACCTTATGATTGAGAGGATCAAATCCATCTTTTTCAATACTTGGTATTTTTCTGTGATCTCAGCTCAACATGTCATAGAGACATAGAAGGGTCTAGTGAAAGGAACACTTTAACTAAATTCAAATTTAATAAATTAATAGGTAAAACCTTATTTTATTTCAATAATTTAAATGTTAAAATAACAATATTTTGCTTTTTTAATATAAGTCAAGATTTTTTTTGTTTAAGTTGCAATTTTTAAATTAATAGCAGAAATTATAAAAAAAATATTTAGTAATTAGATAAACAAATTCCTTATTTATTTTTCACCTTTTTTTTATACAAAATAAAATCAATTTTTTATTAAATTTTTCTAATCAAAATTATTCAAATCATTTTAAAAGGATTTAATTTCTAATGGATATCTGATTTTTTAAAAAAAATTATATTTAATAAATTAAAAATGTCATCCATTTTTTCATTGCTACCCTAAAATATTAGTGTTTTGTGAGCTATATATTAAAAGGATTAAACTATTTTTTAAAAAAAAAAAGTTTTACTGAGATAAATGCTGGTTTAAAATGCTTTGTTTAATTATTTCGTGTACAATTATTTTTTTGTCTCCCGAAGTTATTTTACTTTTAAAATAAACGCTCAGACACAATGCGCAAATAACGTTGTTAAAATAAATTATCTTGTGGTTTTTTGGAATATAATAAGTAAAATAACGAATTTACTTTGCTTTAAAATATGAAGCATAGATATAGCAAGTGCAAAATTTTGCATTAATTTATTATATATATTATATATCCAAATGCGGGGCCCTCCAACACCAAAAGGTGTTGGAGGACCCCGTGGTCTCGCCGGACCAATCTTTTTATTGTTTTATATATATTTCTTATAACTATTATGTAATATATATCTCTAATATTGTTAATATTTATAATTGTAATCATCGCGCATTGATATAAAAATGGCGGATATATAATGGCGAAATTGGTGTATAAGATGTATTATGACCCTGGAAAATTTCTGGGATAGGAACGGCGTAATGATCGCAGAATAATAAATTAGCAAGATAATATTTTATATTCCCAATCGTCGTATATATATATGCGCGGGACTTTATTTCTGGCCGCATATCCCAGAGTTTTCCAGGGTTAAAAAGAAAGAAATATATATTTAATGGGGGGGGGGAGAGATTATGATGCAATATGTTGATTAAAATATCTACATTTATTAGAAAAAAGGAATTTAAAATAAAGGTATTTCATATCGCGGGGGTATTTATGTATCATTGGTAAGATAAAACAATTTGCGATTTATTGAAAAGAACATATATGCAAAATAAGCTTATTGGGAGGGGTGGTGTTCCTCGGGGAAAGAAGATTCTTCCTCGTATGCGGTGTTTATTGATAAATCCAGAGTTCTTTCGAACATACCCGGGTCAAAGTCTCGCTCCATGTTTGCTAAGTTGTTTGCAAACTCGCTGGCGTCGGCTTCGTCCGTAGTGTAGAGCGGGGTTGAGGCATAGGGGATGCGTCCGATAGTTTCTTCCATACTCGGTAGGCCTGCCGTGTCTAACCCGTGCAAGATAGCGTGTGCCTCGTCGCTGGGGATCCAAGTTCGGCTAGGCGAGTCCGCTAGATTGTTTTCCGAGGGTATCCAGGTCAGATTTCTTGATAAGTGTACAAAGTTATAGAAACCGAGGGATAGGATGATCCTTGTGACCAAGTGTTCGCATGCGGGGGATCTGGATCCTCCTTTTTAATGATAGTATACGCTACTTGGCTATCTGTCACTATAGCTGGGATGGTTTTAAACTTATTAAGTGAGTATTTGCATCCCACCCATATCGCTAGGAGCTCTTTTTGGTTGATGTGAGGTGTTACCATCTCTGGGACTCCCAGGGCCTGTTTCGCTTCGTCGAAGGTGAAAGAATATCCTGTGGTGAAGGTATCGGACACCCCTATATGGGTTGAGGACGCGTCGACGTGCAATATTGTATTGATGATGAAGGTGAACGGAAAGGGCTTCATTAATGCATCTATTGCTGCTACTGCCTTCGGATACGCCTTGAGGTAATCGATGGATGGCGGGTCCTCCGGGTTGAGCATAGTGTCGTAGTAAGGTGCGAATACTCTTGATAGTCCGGTGATCGAGTATGTGTAGTGGTTGAGAATTCCTAAGACTTCCAAGGCGACGTTGCGTTCTATTGCCATTGATTGTAACGAGTGTTTGTATAGTATCAATTGGCAAAATTTCAGGCGGGATTGATTATCTTTATCCACACTTGCCGTCTTGTTTGTGAAGTTTATGTTTATGCCTAGGTAGGAGATTTTGTTGGTGGGCGAAAGGACTGACTTGGAATCGTTGATTCTGAGTCCCCATGCCGATATCATATCGAGGAGGGCAATAGTGTCGTTGAAGACATATTGTTCGTCCGCATGGAAGATGATGATATCATCGAGATATACCGAGAAGTTAGCCTTTTTTACCGATTTGGCACATAGGTCTAACACGATATTTTGCAGCGCATATGGCGAGAATCCCGCTCCCATTGGGAGGGTCTTATACCGGAATTTCGAATTAACGGTCCCGAAGCCGAAGAACCTCCTCCTGCTCTGGGCCAGTGGGATCGAATAAAAAGCCGATTTAAGGTCAATTTTTGTCGCCACTGTTGCTGACGCTAGCATCGGAGCAATCATGGGTATGGTTTTCAGCTTGAAAGGGTACTTGATGAAGTTGCGCGACACGTTTGAAAAGTCCGATATGATCCTCGGCGTCCCATCGCTCTTCGGAATAAGGAAGAGGGGCGAGCAAAAGGTATCGTCGGTCATCTCGATCACCGATGCCTCGACTAGTTGGGCCGCGATGGAGGTATTTGTTCGCTAATCTAATAAAACGATTTTTGAAGTATCCTCTATTGTCCTCGATGGCTTGGTTATCTAGTTTTGGGCAAAATCCCCTGAGGGCAATTCTCTTGGTGAACGGTGACTGGCTGGGGTGGGGCTTTAGGATGGATGATGCAAGGTTGAGGCGTGCTGACAAGTTTACGTCCAGATTGTCTGTGGTATCGTACCATCAATCTTAACAGGTTGTGGAATTTACCGATCGAGCCGCTACCGACCGCTGGCGCTGGCGGGGGCATGATAGCGTGGTCGCGGGGCGATACCCTATTCGCGAAGAGGTTGGCCATAAGAATGGGGTCGCCTCCAACATCGAATTGTTGGACGTCTGGTAAGTAATCGTTGTCGTTCTCATCGTCGTTCGATGGCTCGTCGTCCTCGTCTTCTACATCCATGGTCTTGTCCTTTGCTCCATTTCCAGGTGAAAACTTCTGCCACCTAAAGTCGCGAATCCATAGCCGAAGTTCATCTCGTCCTATGGTCGTTATCCAGGTATCCACCCATGGAGCCAAGACCTCCCCTACTCCCAAGTCCAGCGCGGATGGAGGGAGTGATTCCAGGAAATCACCGACCCGCAGGAGGTTTCTTTCCTCGTTTGGCGTCTTTGGGTTTTGGGATGTACTCCATTTGGTAATTTCCATGGTTGGTAATTGTTGGTTCATCCTGCTGGGGTTGCTGTTGTTGTTGCTGGGCGACGTGGGGTTGGTTGAACCCAGTCCTGCGCCCGATTCCGGCTGGGTTCCTGAGAAAGGGCTGCTCTGTGATGGCAGGTGGGGGTCCTAAGAATTTGAATACCTGTGATTGGGATTCCCATTTCGTTTGTTCCCAACCCCAGGCGATGGCTTTCGCATATACTTGGGCCTTGGACGCTATGTCACGCAAGAATTTGTGTGACATGTCTTCCTTGAGTTCTTCTACGGCTATTTTTAATGAAGGAAATTCGTGGGCGTCCCTGCCTTTGGCCTGGAAACCTGCCGTGACCTCGGCTACGTGCATTGCGTTTACATAGGGTTTGGCCACTCGGATAAGCTTGCGTTTGTCTGTTTCCGTCGGGATGCTCAGGTTCTTGATCTCATCCTCCGTTAGTAAACATTCCATCGATTCTGTTGTAAGGTCAACCAGTGGGATTTGTGGCAATACTAATGTGGGGAAGATTAGTGGCGTGTGCTTATTTTGGGGGCTCGGGCCTATTAAGTTATTCAAGCCCGATGAGCTAGCTTTGTCCTCTTTGTCTCCCGACATTTTTTGGAGGGCTTTCAAAATCATTTCCATCTTGGTTTCCATAAGATCCATTTTTCCACTCGACTCCGTGGCTATGGTTTCCAGACGTACTTTGACTGCATCCAGGTCGGTTTTTAGTTGAATTCTCGCTGATTCGGACATTGCTCTAGTATTATCTGACGGTGCAGAGTTATTTCTGAGGCGTCCTTTATTATGATTTTCAATCTTTAGGCTTGCGTTCGTTGTTTCCTCAAAAATTTCTGGGATAGGAACGGCGTAATGATCGCAGAATAATAAATTAGCAAGATATTAATTTATATTCCCGATCGCCGTATATATATATGCGCGTGTTGGGCAAAATTTTTAAGAAAATTATATTCGAATATAAATACATATATACAATTCTGAAAAAACGATATTTGAATAGAAATACGTTTTAAGAAAAAATATTCTAAGTCGATTTCTATAATAGTATGCCATTATAATTTTTATTATTAAAACCATTTTCAAAAATTCTAATAAATCATTTTTTTTTCCAATTGGTTGTGTCGATTACATTAATATTTATGATAATAATTATTCACTTTTCTTTAGGGACTACTCTACACTGTTTTTTTTGGTTTTATTTTCTAAGACGAAATATTATTTTAAAAGATAAAAATAAATGATAATGATAATTTTTTGACAATTTTTAACCTTTTTATACGGTAAATGCAAATAAATAATAATACAATATTTTCAATCATAAGTTGATGGCACATATGATGTTTCGAAATCAGAAGCAATCGCTTTGATAGTAAGATATGTTGAAAATAGTGAGACGCCTAATCCCGTTGAAAGACTGTACGGGAAATACAACTGGTTCTGATACTAAAAAGAATATAATATCCAAACTTGGCTCCATGAATTTACTCTTTGAATTCCTGATATATAATGCTTCAAAATAATATAACAAGACTCCACCAATGAGTTCGTCTTTATAATGAATATAATCAAATTATGGCTCATTATTACAAAACAAAATTATCGCGCGTAAACAAAAATATAATAAAGATTTTTTTTAAAAAAAAAGAGGTCACTCATGAAAATCTTATGGAAAATGTTCCAATTATATTTTATCAGTAGCGAGACAAACATTAAAAATAATATATTTATTGCAGCAGTATACTGGAGAATCTGCAATATCTGGCGCACTTAATAGTGAATTAATTTTTTTATTCTACTAATTTTGTTAAACGAAATATATTTTATTTTGCTTATAGTTTTATTTTAATGATTAAATTATGATCATTGATAAATACGATTTCCTTTTCCTACATTTTATGTTTATTGATAAAAACTAACTCCTCATCTTTATTGGCTATTTTTCCACAAGATGCAAGATATATTTTTGGATTTTTAGAAAAAACACGGGGGGGGGGCTAAACTTTAGTAAAAAAAATTGGAGCCGGACCGGGCCAAAACTATATCCCAGGCCAGACCTAAAAATGTTGTCATTTGCAGACCTCGCCTACATCTAAAGACATATTTTCTCAATATATGCTAACCATCTATTTTTATAAATAAGGAAAAAAGTATTTGTATATAGTATTTTAAATTCTAATAGGTATTCGTGTTACTACCCAACCTCGAATATAATAAGGGAGATATGAAAGATCTGATCCTTGATTTTTAATATGGATCTAATAAATTATTCGTATTTTGAAGGTTAGTAAAAGTTTTAAATACCATCTAGATATCTCCAACTACCATCTGCTACCAAATTTTTAAAAAAATTAGCAAAAAAAATAGTAATTAAAAATGCCCCTCCAATTTTATTCAAATAGGCGATAACGCCATCATAAGTCATAACTACCCCCCCCCCCACCCCAGAAGCTTTACTCACATTTTACTCTCAATTTAATATAATTTTTGCTTGTAAGATTTATTTCTCAGTAAAGTCATTCGTACCATTCATTACTATCATATTAAAATAATTGGTATTCATTCTAAAATGTAACGGTTTAAAATTATTTATTTTTTTAAATATAAAAATAGGAGTAGACTCCCAGATTAGATTTTGGCACCTCAGAAGGTCTCTGAAACCTTTTAAGAGTGATTGTTTATAGTGATCTGCATCGGGCCTAATTTTTCTAGCCCGGCCCAGCCCGATTTTATTTTAAATATAGAAATTAATTTTTATAATTACTCAAAATAAAAGCCTTATCCTTATGTTATAATGGCGTCTATTTCTATAAATAAAATCAAGTATTTTTATTTTAACATAAAAAATAAGATATAAAATTGATAAATCGAAATAAATTTAAATTTCCAAGGCCCGACCCGGCCCGAATTTTTTTTCAAAAATATGAGGCCCGAGCCCGGCCCGGCCCGGCCTACTTTTGCAGATCTCTAATTGTTTATATTATTTACCCATTTTTATTCTAAAATCGCACTTTTAGCAACCTTTTTTGTTATTTAAAAAAAATATGTATATATATATATATAATATCAGCCTTCAATATTACCATTTCCAAAAATTATTTACTCATTTTTTATTTTAAAATCGCACTTTTAGCAACTTTTTTTGTTATTTAAAAAAAAATATGTATATATTCATTATTACCATTTCCAAAAATTATTTACTCATTTTTTATTTTAAAATCGCATTTTTTTTTTGCAACCCTTTTTGTTTATTTTTTTTTTTAAAAAAAATAAAAATATAATATCAGCCATCACTATTAGGGGGTGGTGTTGTTAAAAGACTCGATTAGAGCCGATTTTAAAAAACGGATTAACTCAATATTTTACTCAACCCGGAAGATTTTGCTCATGGATGTTACAAAAGATTTGGAACATTTATTAGCGAAATTTCGAGGTTTTCGGCTAAAATATTCGGTTAGCCGTTTTAAAAATCGGCTCAAAGTTAGCCATATAACAAGACTATTGAGGGGAAGAGAGAGGGTATAATATTTTTCATTATTTTTCATTATTTTTCATTATTTTTTTAAAATTTTAAATATTTAGTAGAATATAAGGCCAACTCATTTATGAAAAAGACTAATTTATGTAAAATTGTTTCAAATCTCAGGGGAGTGTTCAATTTCTTTTTTTTTAAAAAGAAAAATATCAGGGAATCGATTAATCAATAATTTATTTGACTTCTTTTTTTTCTACCGACGCCAATGGAAGCAGTGATACGGGTACCTAAAAGGATCTTCAGATATGGGATGTGTCAGCTACTTTTACACACCTCTCTTCATCCAATCCAATGACGATATTCACCCTCCCTCGAGAATCCCCTCATCCCCTTTAAAATTTTACCCTTACTCTCACTTACCATTTTAAAACTAACCCCTGCCCCTCTCCACTCTGACTATTACAACGTCATAACTACCTACCCCCCACCCCACACCCCTCTTCCAATTTTAGTGGACGATTTGGCCTCATATTAGAGTAGGGGCTTGATGGTTCGTCTCAATGGTCCTTTTTTATTGTGGGCCTTACCAAATTGCTTTCATAGCTTTTAAATTTAAATTGACTGCTATCTAATACTTTTCATAATAATTCACTGCCATTTTAATCTTAAAAGAAAAATATTTCTGTTCTTAAGATTATGGCTAAAATAAGCTTAATTACATAAAAAACCGGAAAAAGGAAAATTTTTTTTAAATTTACCATTCCCTCAGTCAGTAACTTATATTATATCCCATTTTTATATTTTTGTGCTC